CACTCAGCATCGCAACATGCAGCGCTCAGCATCGCCACATGCAGCACTCAACATGGCCACATGGACCACTCTGCATCGCCACATGCACCACTCAGATCGCCACATGCACCAAGCAGCATCACCACGTGCACCACTCAACATCGCCACATGCACCACTCAACATCGCAACATGCACCACTCAACATCGCAACATGCACCACTCAGTATGCCCAGATGCAGCACTCAACATCGCCACACGCACCACTCAACGTTGACACTTGCACCAGCCAGAATCCCCACATGCACCACTCTGCATCGCCACATGCACCACTCAACATCGCCACAGCACCACTCAACATCGCTAGCTACACCACTCAGCATCGCCACATGCACCACTCAACGTCGCCACATGCAACACTCAACATCGCAACATGCAGCACTCAGCATTGCCACATGCACTACTCAACATCGCCACATGCACCACTCAGCATCGCTAGATGCACCACTCAGCATCGCCACATGCACCACTCAGCATCACCACAAGCACCACTCACCATTGCCACATGCACCACTCAGCATCACCACATGCACCACTCCGCATTGCCACATGCAGCACTCAACATGGCCACATGGACCACTCTGCATCGCCACATGCACCACTCACATCGCCACATGCACCAAGCAGCATCGCCACATGCACCACTCAACATCGCCACATGCACCACTCAACATCGCAACATGCACCACTCAGTATGCCCAGATGCGGCACTCAACATTGCCACATGGACTACTAAACATCGCCACACGCACCACTCAACGTTGACACTTGCACCAGCCAGAATCCCCACATGCACCACTCCGCATCACCACATGCACCACTCTGCATCGCCACATGCACATCTCATCATCGCCACATGCACCACTCAACATCGCTACCTGCAGCACTCAGCATCGCCACATGCACTACTCACATCGCCACATGCACCACTCAGCATCGCTACATGCACCACTCAGCATCGCCACATGCAGCACTCAGCAGCGCCACATGCACCACTCAGCATCGCCACATGCACCACTTAGCATCACCAGATGCACCACTCAACATCGCCACATGCACCACTCAGCATTGCCAGATGCACCACTCAGCATAGCCACACGCACCGCTCAGCATCACCACATGCACCACTCACCATTGCCACATGCACCACTCAGCATCGCCACATGCACCACTTAGCATCACTACATGCAGCGCTCAGCATCGCCACATGCAGCACTCAACATGGCAACATGGACCACTCTACATCGCCACATGCAACACTCAGCAGCGCCACATGCACCAAGCAGCATCGCCACATGCACCACTCAGCATCACCACATCCACCACTCAGCATCGCCACATGCACCACTCAGCATGCCCAGATGCAGCACACAACATCGCCACATGCACCACTAAACATCGCCACACGCACCACTCAGCGTTGCCACTTGCACCTGTCAGCATCGCCACATGCACCACTCAACATCGCCACATGCACAACTCAATATCGCAACATACACCACTCAGCATCGCCATATGCCCCACTAAACATCGCCACATGCACGACTCAACATCGCAACATGCAGCACTCAACATTGCCACATCCACCACTCAACATCGCCACATGAACCACTCAGCATTGCTAGATGGACCACTCACCATCGCCACATGCACCACTCAGCATCACCACATGCACCACTCAGTATTGCCACATGCACCACTCTGCATCGCCACATGCACCGCTCAGTATCGCTACATGCAACGCTCAGCAGCGCCACATGCAGCACTCAACATGGCCACATGGACCACTCTGCATCGCCACATGCACCACTCAGCATGGCCACATGCACCACTCAGCATCGCAACATCAACACTCAGCATCGCCAAATGCACCACTCAACATCGCCACATGCACTAGTCAGCATCGCCACATGCACCACTTAGCACCGCCTCATGCACCACTCATCATCGCCACATGCACCACTCAGCATCGCAACATGTTGCACTCAGCCTCGCCACATGGACCACTCAACATCGCCAGATGCAGAACTCAGCACCTCCACATGCACCACTTAGCATCGCCACATGCACCACTCAACATTGCCACATGCACCACTCAGCATTGCCACATGCACCACTCAGCATCCCCACACGCACCACTAAGCATCGCCACATGCACCACTCAGCATCACCACATGCACCACTCAGCATCACTACATGCACCATTCACCATTTCCACATGCACCACTTAGCATCGCCACATGCACCACTCAGCATCGCAACATGCAGCGATCAGCATGGCCACATGGACCACTCTGCATCGCCACATGCACCACTCAGCATCGCCACATGCACCAAGCAACATCGCCACATGCACCACTCAGCATCTCCACATGTAACCCTCAGCATTGCCACATGCACCACTCAGCATGCCCAGATGCAGCACTCAACATCGCCACATGCACCATTAAACATCGCCACACCCACCACTCAACGTTGCCACTTGCACCAGTCAGCATCGCCACATGCACCACTCTGCATCGCCACATGCACCACTCAGCATCGCAACATACACCACTCAGCATCGCCAGAAGCACCACTCAACATTGCCACATGCACCATTGAGCATCGCCACATGCACCATTCAGCATCGCCACATGCACCACTCAGCATCGCCAAATGCACCACTCAACATCCCCAGCTGCACCACTCAGCATCGCCTCATGCACCATTCTCCATCGCAACATGCAGCACTCAGCATCGCCACATGCACCACTCATCATCTCCAGATGCAGCACTCAGCATCGCCATATGCATCAAGCAACATCGCCATATGCACCACTCAACATGGACACATGCACCACTCAGCATCGCCACATGCACCACTCAGCATCTCTACATGCACCACTCAGCATCGCCACATGCACCCCTCAACGTCTCCAGCTGCACCACTCAGCATCGCCACATGCACCACTCAACGTCACCACATGCACCACTCAGCATTGCAACATGCATCACTCAGCATCGTCACATGCACCACTCAACTTCGCCACATGCACTACCCAGCAAGCCCAGATGCAGCACTCAACATCGCCACATGCACCACTAAACATCGCCACACGCACCACTCAATTTTGCCACTTGCTCCAGTCAGCATCGCCACATGCACCACTCTGCATCGCCACATGCACCACTCAACATCGCCACATGCACCACTCATTATCGCAACATGCACCATTGAGCATTGCCAGAAGCACTACTCAACATTGCCACATGCACCACTCAGCATCGCCACATGCAACACTCAGCATCGGCACATGCACCATGTTGTGTGATGTCATTATATGCTATCACATTCTGTCTGCCTCCCATCCCTTGTTTCAATTCGCATGTATGGTTTGACTGTGTGTGAAAGAATTTGTGTAGTGTGTGTTCTGGAGTTTGGGAACGTGTTTTGTGTTATTCTGTCTGAGCAGGTATTTGTGATGATAGATCTTGAGAATATCTTTCCGACGCAACAAGAATCGTTTTAATCGGAGCAAGAACGCGAAAGCTATGAAGATTCAAAGTTCATGAGCTTGCGTTACAATTGCGGCGGTTACAAAGTGAAGTTGTGGGGTGACTCTATATGGAATTGGGACCTTTGGGGTTGGGGAAATTCGTCACTCTACTGTAACAGCTGCAAATTGGTAGGGAACAACCAAGCTAGGTTGGCAAGGGTGGCCAACTTGGATGGATTGGTTGGGAAGGGACAAATGTCAAAGTTGGGGTTCCTATAGGGAGGGAATCTTTGTGCTTATGGGGTTTCCTTGGTTGGGGACTCTCTTGGGACCTTCCCTCTCGTCCCTCTCTTCCCATGCCAACCTTTCTCTAGCTCCTCTAATTCCTTGTGAGATTCTTGAACTTTGATTGAACTTTTGAGATTGAGTTAAGTTCTCCTCCTACAGCTTACCCCCCAGTGCGTCGAAAGACATAGCGTCGCGAATGCTCCATTAATCCATTTGATTCAAATTGAGAATGGTAGCTAAGATTACAAGATAGAAAATATCTGAGTTTCGCGAGATTCCAACGTCGACGTCGCCTTTTCGGCGTCGTTTCTTGTGAAAACGACTTTTCTGTTCAGAATTTTGGATTTATATTTTGAGTAATTCTAGCTGCTAAGTTCACCTAGACTCCGTCCTTAATTCTAACAACTGGTATCAGAGCCATATTAAGGGCATTAAGAGGAGTCTACAGATGTTTGAAGGCCCTTTTAGACCAACCATGGCCTGTGGGTGTGCCTAAGTGGTGTTCTAGAGGTTGGATGTGTCTTCCGCTAAGGGGAAATTCTGCCGAAATTTCGTGGGCGCCGACACTTGTGAAAATATCGAGGGAGCTGAGTGTGGACAGCAAAGGGGAGCTGAAATTCGTCATTTCTAATGGAGAAGATGAATGAGAGAGGAGGAGATGCTAATGGAAGAGGAGCTGTACCTGAGAAGACAAGTTAGCCGCCGCCATCAAAAGTTGAAGCTTTGGATGGCTCCAACTATGAGGAATGGAGCGGGCGGATGAGGAGTGCCTTCAAACGCTACTGAAGATTGCTGTTGGGGAGGAGAAGATGCCGGAAGAAGGCGAAGCACGTGAACGGTGGATTGAGAAAAACGCAGTGCTTTTCGACCTCATCCTTCAATCGGTCAACAAGGAAATGTTCGAGCACATCAAGGATCTTGTGGAAGCGGATGATTCGGGTCCAAGGGCGTGGAAACTACTACGCGATGTATATCAGCCCAACACTCTCCCGATGGTGATCGTGCTCGAGAAGGAACTTGCTGCCATCTCCATGCGACCGGGGGACGATGTGAAGCCGGTCCTTGACAAGATCAAGGACACCTATGCAAGGATGGCAGCAGCGGGTAGCAGTGTATCTTAGCTGCAGCAGTGCACCAAGATCATCTCGGTGTTGGACAACTCTTGGGACAACCTCATCCCCACCCTCAACTCTCAGCAAGATCAACGGACACCTGAGTGGCTAAGGCAGCAGATTCTGCAGGAGGACTTCCGCAGACGCCATGGTGGAGGTGGTGCTTCCACTAAGACTGCTGAGGGGTATGGAGCTGCAGGGCGCGGCAGAGGAAGAGGAGGTTGGAGAGGCCGAGGTCGTGGGAGGAGCTTTGGCAGAGGTAGAGGCCGAGGTGACTATAATGAGGGGCATGGGAGCTCTAGTGGCAAGGGGAGTACCAGAATGGAGGGCACATGCTGGTACTGCAAGAAGGTCGGGCATCCTTGGTTAAGTGCTTCAGTAGGCCGGAGGGATGGGGGCCTCTAGGCATGAAACCGCCCAGTGGTGAACGCGCACAAGGTGGCGCTGTGCAAGGCTCAGGTGCACAAGGTGAAGGTGCACAAGGTCATACCTATCATGGGATGTTTCTCATGGTTGAGGATGTGCATGGGCATGAGGGTGATGTGGGATCTGTGGGAAAGGTTGTGATGCACCCTCTCACGCACTGGGTGATTGATTCAGGTTGCACCAGTCACATGACCCCACGGGCAGATTTGCTTGATGAGGTAAAACCCCCTGGGAAGATTAAGTATGTGGCAGCAGTGTCAGGTGCTTTGCTCCCTGTCATTGGTGTTGGGAATGCCAAGGTTAAGGGAGCTTATGGGGAACTTGTGAGGCTTGGGAATGTTCTGCTGGTTGAAGGTCTGTCTGCTAACCTTCTCTCTGTGCGGCGGCTGCAGAAGAGTAAGGCCGAAGTGACCTTTGGACCAACCAGCTGCTGTGCTAAGCTTGGGAAGAAGGTGCTGTGGAGTCTGGAAGAGGAGACCGGCTGCATCAAGGACCTATGGCAGCTGCCCATCATCAATTGGAATGGGAAGACTCCAACAGCAGCAACGGCAGTAGCGGCAAAGGCAAGAGCAGGAGGAGATGCAACTGCACCAACTGATGGGGTCCTGGAAGCAGTCAAGAAAGTGCAGCAGCAGCAGACACATGGTGAGGTACTTGCTGGTGTGGATGCGAGTGCGGCATGAGCTAAGGCTTCATCAAGGAGTGGTGAGGCCGATTGGGAGACATGGCATGAGAGGCTGTGTCATGTGAACTTCCCTATGCTGCAGAAGTTGGTGAAGGATGGGAGCCTGAAGGGCTTGGAGGTGAAAGGGGGAGTGAAGGAGATTGGGAGCTGCCCTACATGCTTGGAGACCAAGTTCTCCAACTTCCCCTTCAACAGCACTACTGAACCAGCCAAGACCCCACTTGCACTTGTGCACATAGATGTGGTGGGGCCCACAAGAGCCCCTTCCCTCTCAGGCAGCCGCTATTTCTTGACAATTGTGGATGACCACACTCGGGCAGTGTGGGTTTACCCTTTGAAGAGCAAGGGGGAGGTGGCAGCGGCTGTCCTTAAGGAGTGGATGCCTAGAGCTCAGAGGGAATGCGGACACAAGGTGGAGGTGATCCGTAGTGATAATGGTGGGGAGTTCATTGGAGCTGATTTTGAGGGGGAGTTGAAGAGGAAGGGGATCCAACATCAACTGACAGTGCCCTACAACCCGCAGCAGAATGGTGTGGCTGAGAGGTTCAACAGGACCCTGCAGGAGGGGGCACGCACTCTCCTTGGGTGTGCAGGGCTGCCTGATCCGTTTTGGGTGTCTGCACTGAGGCAGGTCGCCCTTGTGAAGAACAAGGTGCTGGCTACAGTTGGGGATAAGGAGTGGATCCCATATGTCAAGTGGTATGGGAGTGCTCCAGCTGTGAACATGCTGAAGGCATTTGGGTGCATGGTGGTGTTTCATTTGCCCAAGGCGAAAAGGGGGAAGTTGGAGGCTTCTGGAAGATGGGGTGTGCACTTGGGGATTGCAAAGGATCACAAGGGGTGGCTGCTATGGGACTTGACCACCCAGAAGCTGACAGTGTCAAGGGATGTGAAGTTTCTTGAGTCCCTGTACTACAAGGAATGGAAGCAGCAGCAACAGAAGCTTCCATCTACACTGCTAATTGAGGAGGTAGATGAGGTGCAGCGGCCTTCAAGACAGGTGGAGGTTGCAGTGTCTGAGGAGGAGATGTCTGGGGTGACTGAGGAAGGGGGAGCAGCTGAAGTGGAGCAGCAGCAGCAGCATGAGTCTCCACCTCGAGTTCCACACCCGCCTGAGCGACCTAGGAGGGATGTGCGCCCTCCGGTGAGGCTGACCTATGGGGGAAGAGGCAAGCCGAATGTGGTGCAGGCTGGGAGTGTGGTTGAGCAGATTGAGGAAGATGAGATCGCTCACTGCTACTGGGCACCAATCTCTGAGCCCAAGACTCGAGAGGAGGCCTTGAATGGACCAAATGGGGAGAAAGTGGAAGGCGAGTGAGGATGAGGAGTTCGGGTCCCTGATTGAGAACGAGACATGGGACCTGTGTGACTTGCCTCCTGGGAAGAAGGCAATCACTTCCAAGATGATCTACATGCACAAGTATGGACCTGAAGGGGAGATGACCCGCTACAAGTCTAGGCTTGTGGTACGGGGGTTTCAGCAGACAAAGGGGAAGGACTATGATGAGGTGTTTGCTCCAGTGGGGAAAGGAACAACACTGAGGGTGCTGTTGGCGATAGCTGCACTCCTGGGATGGAAGATACGGCAGATGGACTTTGTGACTGCCTTTCTGAATGGGATCATTCTGGAGGTGTACATGAAGCAGCTAGAGGGGCTGGATGATGAGAGCGGAAGGGTCTGCAGGCTGAAGAAGGCCATCTATGGCCTTAGGCAGGCGCCTCGTGCGTGGTATTACAAGTTGGAGGAGGCGCTGTTGGCTGGGGGTTTCAAGAAGAGTGAGTGTGACCCCAGCTTGTTCCTGCAGCAGGAGAAGGATGAAATCCTCATGCTCCTGGTGTATGTGGATGATATCCTTCTCTTTTCTGCATCAACTGCTTTGCTGGACAGCGCAGAGCAGATGTTGGAGATGCAGTTCAATTGTTCCAAGATGGGTGAGGTGAAGTACTACTAGGGGATGCATGTGGAGAGAGATGTGGAAAAGGGTGTGCTGAGGTTGCACCAGAGGAAGTACTGTGAGGGGCTGGCTGAGAAGTATGGGCTGCAAGATTGGGGAAAGCCAGCAACACCACTACCTTCGGGGTTTACTGTGGAGCCATGTGCTGATGAGGAGGTAGTGGGGGAGAGTGACACGAAGCTGTTTCATTCGATGGTTGGGTCGCTGAATTATGCTGCAAATCATACACGGCCTGACATTGCATTTGCTACATCACGGTTGGCTAGTGTGGTCTCACGCCCTAGTCATGAGCAGCTGGAAGCGGCCAAGAGGTTGGTCCACTATATGAGCGCTACGGCATCAGTGGGATTGGAGTACAGTGGAGTGAGGTAGCGGTTGCAGAGAGGTGCTGCAGATGTGAAGAGTTGAGAGATACTCTTGAGTTGCTATACTGACGCTAGCTTCAACTCAGTGAAAGCGGATAGCACCAGCATTGGGGGTTATGTGTACTTGCTAGGAGGTGGTGCTGTGAGCTGGCGCAGCAAGAAGCAGAATGAGGTGGGATTGTCCTCATGTGAGACTAAGTACATAGCGTTACACCATGACTGAGGAAGTGGTATGGCTGAGGCGGTTGTTGGAGGAGTTGGGAGTTGGTCAGGAGGAGCCGACAGTTGTGTTTTGTAACAATGAGTCTGCTGTAAAGCTCGCCAAGAATGCATGTCTGCATGGGCTGACAAAACACATAAGGCCCAAATGGCATTGGGTGAGGAGACTCCTCGATAAGGAGGTGCGGCTGGAGATAGTGAAGACCCATCAGCAGGCAGCACATATTTTAACTAAGCGTTTGGCGGAGGCAAATCATTGGGATGAGTGTGCATTGAGTATGCATGCTTGAGATGTTGGTATGGTGGATGATGGTTGGCAGCCAGAGGGGGAGATTGTTGTGTGATGTCATTATATGCTATCACATTCTGTCTGCCTCCCATCCCTTGTTTCAATTCGCATGTATGGTTTGACTATGTGTGAAAGAATTTGTGTGGTGTGTGTTCTGGATTTTGGGAATGTGTTTTGTGTTATTCTGTCTGAGCAGGTATCTGTGATGATATATCTTGAAAAGATCTTTCCGACGCAACAAGAATCGCTTCAATCGGAGCAAGAACGCAAAAGCTATGAAGATTCAAAGTTCATGAGCTTGCGTTACAATTGCGGCGGTTACAAAGTGAAGTTGTGGGGTGACTCTATATGGAGTTGGGACCTTTGGGGTTGGGGAAATTCGTCACTCTACTGTACCAGCTGCAAATTGGTTGGGAACAACAAAGTTAGGTTGGCAAGGGTGGCCACCTTGGATGGATTGGTTGGGAAGGGACAAATGTCAAAGTTGGGGTTCCTATAGGGAGGGAATCTTTATGCTTATGGGGTTTCCTTGGTTGGGGACTCTCTTAGGACCTTCCCTCTCATCCCTCTCTTCCCATCCCAACCATTCTCTTGCTCCTCCTACAGCTTACCCCCCAGTGCGTCGAAAGACCTAGTGTCCCAAATACTCCATCAATCCACGTGATTCAAATTGAGAACGGTAGCTTAGACTACAAGCTAGAACATACCTGAGGTTCGCGAGATTCCAACAGCTTGTTTTTTGTCGACGTCGTTTCTTGTGAAGACGACTTTTCTGTTCAGAATTTCGGATATATAATTCTGAGTTATTCTAGCTCCTAAGTTCACGTAGACTCCGTCCTTAATCCTAACACACCACTCAGCATCGCCACATGCACCACTCAACATTGCCAGCTGCACCACTCAGCGTCGCCACATGCACCACTCAACATCGCCACATGCACCACTCGGCATCACAACATGCAGCACTCAGCATCGCCACATGCACCACTCAACATCGCCACATGCACCACTCAGCATCGCCAGATGCACCGCTCAGCATTAACACATGCACCACTCAGCATCACCACATGCACCACTCAGCATCGCCACATGCACCACTTAGCATCACTACATGCAGCGCTCAGCATCGCCACATGCAGCACTAATCATGGCCACATGGACCACTCAGCATCTCCACATGCACCACTCAGCATCGCCACATGCACCAAGCAGCATCGCCACATGCACCACTCAGCATCACCACATCCACCACTCAGCATCGCCACATGCACCACTCAGCATGCCCAGATGCAGCACACAACATCGCCACATGCACCACTAAACATCGCCATAGGCACCACTCAACATCGCCACACACACCACTCAGCATCGCCACATGCACCACTCAATATGGACACATGCACCACTCAGCATCGCCACATGCACCACTCAGCATCGCCACATGCACCACTCAGCATCACCACATGCACCACTCAGCATCGCCAAATGCACCACTCAACATCGCCACATGCACTACTCAGCATCGCCACATGCACCACTCAACATCGCCACATGCACTACTCAGCATCGCCATATGCACCACTTAGCATCGCCTCATGCACCACTCATCTTCGCCACATGCACCACTCAGCATCGCAACATCCAGCACTCAGCATCGCCACATGGACCACTCAACATTGCCAGATGCAGCACTCAGCACCTCCACATGCACCACTCAGCATCGCCACGTGCACCACTCAACATCGCCACATGCACCACTCAGCATTGCCACATGCACCACTCAGCATCGCCACACGCACCACTCAGCATCGCCACATGCACCACTCAGCATCGCCACATGCACCACTCAGCATCACCACAAGCACCACTCACCATTGCCACATGCACCACTCAGCATCCACACATGCACCACTCAGCATCGCAACATGCAGCGATCAGCATGGCCACATGGACCACTCTGCATCGCCACATGCACCACTCAGCATCGCCACATGCACCAAGCAACATCGCCACATGCACCACTCAGCATCTCCACATGCACCATTCAGCATCGCCACATGCACCACTCAGCATGCCCAGATGCAGCACTTAACATCGGCACATGCACCATCACACATCTCCACACCCACCACTCAACGTTGCCACTTACACAAGTCAGCATCGCCATATGCACCTTTCTGCATCGCCACATGCACCACTCAACACCGTCACATGTACCACTCAGCATGGCCACATGCACCACTCAGCATTGCCAAATGCACCCCTCAGCATCGCCACATGCACCACTCAGGATTGCCAGATGCACCACTCAGCATTGCGAGATGCACCACCTAGCATTGCCTTATGCACCACTTAGTCCCATATGCACCACTCATCATCGCCACATGCACTACTCAACATCACCACACGCACCACTCAACGTTGCCACTTCCTCCAATCAGCATCGCCACATGCACCACTCACCAGTTCCAGATGCACCATTTAGCATCGCCACATGCACCAGTCAGCATCGCTACATGCACCACTCAGCATCACCACATGCAGCACTCAACATCGCCACATGCACTTCTCAACATCCCCTCATGCACCACTAAGCACCGCCTTATGCACCACTCATCATCGCCACATGCACCACTCAGCATTGCAACATGCAGCACTCAGCATTGTCACATGCACCACTCAACATCGCCACATGCACCGCTCAGCATCGCGACATACACCACTCAGCATCGCAACATGCTGCACTTAGCATCGTCACATGCACCACTCAACATTGCCACATGCACCACTCAGCATTGCCAGATGCACCACTCAGTATCGTCACATGCACCATTCAGCATCACCACATCCACCACTCAGCATTGCCACATGCCCCACTCGGCATCGCAACATGCAGCGCTCAGCATCGTCACATGCAGCACTCAACAGAGCCACATGGACAACTCTGCATCGCCACATACACCACTCAGCATCGCCAGATGCACCACTCAGCATTGCCTGATGCACCACTTAGTATCGCCACATGCACCACTCAGCATCGCCTCACGCACCACTGAGCATCGCCACATTCACCACTTAGCATCGCCATATGCACCACTCAACATCTCCACATACACCACTCAGCATGCCCACATGCACCACTCAACCTTGCCACTTGCACCAGTCAGCATCACCACATGCAGCACTCAGCAGTGCCTGATGCACCATTCAGCATCGCAACATGCACCACTCAGCATCGCCACATCCACCACTCAGCATCGCCACATGCAGTACTCAGCACTACTAGACGCACCACGTAGCATCGCCACATGCTCCACCCAGCATTGCCACATGCACCACTCAGCATGCCAAAAGCACCATTCAACATTGCCACATGCACCACTAAACATTGCCACACGCACCACTCAACATTGCCACTTGCACCAGTCAGCATCGCCACATGCACCACTCAGCAATGCCAGATGCACCATTCAGCATCGCCACATGCACCAATCAGCATCCCCACATGCACCTCTCAGCATCTCCACATGCAGCACTCAGCACCGCCACATGCACCACTCAGCATCGCCACAAGCACCACTCAGCATTACCAGATGCACCACTCAGCATCGCCACATGCACCACTCAACATCGCCACATGTACCATTCAGCATCGCCACATGCACCACTCAGCATCGCCAGATGCACCACTCGGCATTGCCACATGCACCACTCAGCATCGCCACATGCACCACTCACACTCGCGACATGGAGCACTCAGCATCGGCACATGCACCACTCAGCATCACCACATGCACCACTCACCATTGCCACATGCATCACTCAGCATCGCCATATGCACCACTCAGCATCGCAACATGCAGCTCTCAGCATTGCCACATGCAGCACTCAACATTGTCACATGGACAACTCTGCATCGCCACATGCACCACTCAGGATCACCACATGCACCACTCAGCATTGGCACATGCACCACTCAGCATCGCTATATCAACACTCAGCATCGTAACATCAGCACTCAGCATCGCCACATGCAGAACTCAGCATCGTCAGATGCACCAGTCAGCATCGCCACATGCACCACTCAAGATCGCCACTTGCACCACGCAACATCGCCACATGCAATTCTCAGCATCGCCACGTGCACCACTCAGCATTGCCAGATGCCCACTCGGCATTGCCACATGCACCACTGAGCATCGCCACATGCACCACTCTGCATCGCCACATCCACCACTCAACATCGCCAGCTGCACCACTCAACGTCGCCACATGCACCGCTCAGCATCGTGACATGAACCACTCAGCATCGCAACATGCAGCACTCTGTATCGCCATATGCACCACTAAGCATCGCCACATGCACCACTCAACATCGCCTCATGCACCACTCAGCATCGCCACATGCACCACTCACCATCGCCACGTGCACCACTCAACATCGCCACATGCACCACTCACCATCGCCACGTGCACCACTCAACATCGCCACATGTACCACCCAGCATTGCCACATGCACCACTCTGCATCGCCACATGCACAACTCAGCACCGGAAGATGCACCACTCAGCATCGCCACGTGCACCACTCAGCATCGCCACATGCACCACTCAACATCGCCACATGCACCAATTTGCATCGCCACATGCACCACTCTGCATCGCCACATGCACCACTCAACAACGCCAGCTGCACC